GGCCGGAGAAGCGGTGCGTCAGTGCGCGCCCGGGATCCCAACCCGGGCCGCCAGCAGCGGAACGCGCGCACTTAACCGCTAAGCCACGGGGCCGGCCCAATATATATATGTATATTAATGGAACTACTCGGACACAAGTTGCAAACACTTCACCCCTAAATACTTCAGCAAGTGTCTCCTAAAAACAAGTGCATTCTCTTTTCTAACCACAGTACAATAATGAAATTCAGGAAGTTTAACATGTATACGGTGCTGTGGTTAACACACAGTCCACGTTGAAATTTCCCCAGTTGTCCCGGTGCTGTCTTTTAGAGTCGTTTCCCCCCGATCCGAGATCCAGTCTAGGATCACGCTTTCTGTTTCCTCGTGGTGTCTCTTTCGTCTCCTTTCATCTTTTATGTAGCTCCTCTGCCTTTTTTTTTTTTTTTTTAATCTTTCATGTTGACGTTTTTTGAAGAGTGCAGCCAGTTGTTCTGTAGAAAACCCCAGAGTCTCCTCAGAAGTGGAGTCAGGTTACACATTTTCAGCAGGAACCCTACATAAATGAAGCAGTGGCTCGCTCACCTCGGGAGGTAATGGTGTCAGTCGGCCCCGGCCCCGTTACTGCTGATGTTAGCTTTGATCACTTAGTTAAGGTGGTATCTGCCGGGTTCCTTTACAATAAGGGAAGTTCTTTTTTTAAAAAAATCTCTTTGTAGTTAATAGATATTCCATGGGGAGAGTCTATCATCCAGTGATTTAGCGTCCACTGATGATACTTGCCTGAATCCTAATATTACTACTAGGGTTGCAAATGGTGTTTTCTTTTCTTTTCTTTCTTTCTTTCTTTTTTGAGGAAGATTGGCCCTGCACTAACACCTGTTGCCAATCTTCCTCTTTTTTCTTTTTTCTCCCCAAAGCCCCAGTACATAGTTCTGTATCATTGTTGTAGAATTGTAGCTCTTCTATATGGGACACCATCTCAGCATGGCTTGATGAGTGGTGAATAGGTCCGCGCCCAGGATCCAAACCGGGGAACCCTGAGCTTCCGAAGCAGAATGTGCAAACTTAACCACTATGCCACCGGGTCTGCCCTGCAAATGGTGTTTTCTAACTTTGTTTTTCCATCTACACGTATACCACTGAAAAGAAGAATTTTCTTTCTTTAAAAATATGTCAGTATGCATTTACATTTTTTTAATTCAGTGTGTTATCTGCCATTCCTTTTATTATTCATTTTGATGTTCAAATTATCTCCAATTGGACTACAGGAACCCCCCTCAAACTAGTTCCTGTGTCTTTTTCTGACATGTCCCTTTCTTTTTTTGAGCACTTCCTTACCTTGTGGCCCAAGTACACTTTTATGCCCCTGCCCCAGGCTTCAAATTAGCTATTTCTCCTGGGATCTCTAGTTCCTTATTTAGTGGGGGATGATATTAGAGACCAAAATCTGGGCGCTAGGTGTGCTCATTGCTGCTGAGATGTCACTGCTTCTACAATCTTTCAGGACACAAAGCCGAGAAATGGTATATATTGGTAAAACAGGAGTTTGTACTAGACCTAACACCACAGGGTTCTTCCTTGCCTTACCCCATTCTGATCTGTATCTTCCTTCTTTCAGAATGAGAACTCCAGCTCCCCAAAGCATCCGTATATTTACACATTTGCTCAACCCTACAACACACTCAGAATAATTTCAGAACTGCTATCCCTAGCCCACTCCCAACAAAAAAACCTACTCAGTAAGGTTCAAGATTTCTTTGCAGAAATCTTGTTTGTCTGTAGACTGAGATATATAATCAAAGTACTGTATTCAAAAGTTACTTGAATTACTCCTGTGGTTATGTTGTTCATTTGATATAAAGTTAGCTTCATTTATTTTTGCTTGTATCAATTTTAGTTTTTTCCCCTATCCTTGTTGATTTTATTTTTTGCATGTATAAAATGTTAGCATAGTTCCAAAGGTCAGAATCATACACAAATATGCACTAAAAGGAATGCCAGTTCCTTCCCATCTCTCCTTGCTGTTCTCACCTCCCTCCTGTAGGTGATCAACTTCATTTGTTTATTTTCCTTCTGATGTCTCTTTTTGCAAAAATCAGCAGATGCACATAAGTATTTTTATGTACCCTTTCTTTATGCGTAAAAGGAAGCATCCTGTGTTCATTACTTTCTTTTTTAACTTAGTGATATCAATCGTAAAGATCTCCCTCATTCTCATTTCACAGTGGCACGATACTCTGTTATATGATGTTTTCTAGTTTATTCCGCTAATCCTCTGTGTAGGGGTCTAGGTCATTTCCAATATTGTGCCATATTGGAATCATGCTGCAGTGAGTTAACTTGTGCACGTGTGCTCTCATATCCTTGAACAGGTATCTTCAGGGTAAATTCCTAGAAGTGAGATTGCTGGATTAAAGGATAAAGACATGTGTGGTTTTGTTAGATATGGCTGAAGTCCCCTCCATAGGGGTTGTGCCATTTTGCATTCCCACCAGCAACGTATAAGAGCTTCTGTGTCCTCTGGCCTCACCAAAACAGTATGCTGTGAAGCTTTTAAACTTTTGACAATCTGATGCATGAGAAATGGTATCTCTTCTTAGTTTTCATCTGCATTTCTCTTATTTTGAGTGAGGGAGCATTTTTTAAAAAAAAAAAAAAAAGCAAGGAGATGATACCTTTCTAAAGAGGTGACACGGGAGGAGAGATCTAAATGGAGTGACAGAAAAAGACATGGAGAAATCTGGGGGGAGAGCATTCCAGGCAGAGGAAACAGCAGGAGCAAAGGCCCTGAGGCAGAAATGAGTTTGATGTGTTCAAGGAAGGGATGGGGGGGACTCACGTAGTCTAAGTAGAGGAAACAAGGAGAAACTGACCAGGGATGTTGTTGGCAGGCACCAGACCATGTAGGCATTGTAGTCCAGGGGTCAGGAAAGTTTTTCTGTAAAAGGCCAGGTAACAAATATTTTCAGCTTAACTGGCCATACAGTTAGTCTCTGTGCAACTATTTAACTTTGCTTTTGCAGCCATGGCATCATGAAAACAAACAGACGTGCCTGTGTTCCAATATAATTTTATTTATAGACCCTGAAATTTGAAATGCATATACTTTTAAAATTGAGATATTATAAATCACATAACCTAAAGTTCATATAATTCAGTGGTTTTTAGTATATTCACAAGGTTGTGCAACCATCTCCATTGCCTGATTTCACAACATTTTCATCACCCCAGAAAGAAACCTCACACCCTTTAATAGTCAGTCATAATCCCCCCTCCACCCCATTCCCTGGCAGCCACCAATCTACTTCCTATCTCTATGGATTTCCCTATTTGGGACATTTCCTATAAATGGAACCATACGGTGTGTGGTCTTTTGCATCTGGCTTCTTTCACTTAGTGTATTTTCTAGGTCCATCCATGTGGTAGCATAAATCAGTACTTCATTCCTTTTTTTGGCTGAATAATATTCCTTTATATGGCTATACCACATTTTGTTTATTCTTTCAGTTGATAGACATTTGGGTTGTTTCCACTTTTTGGCTATTATGAATAATGCTGCTACAAACATTCATGCACAAGTTTTTGTGTGAACATATGTTTCCCGTTCTCTTGGGCAGACACCTAGGAGTGGAATCACTGGGTCATATGGTAATTCTATCTTTAACACTTTGAGGAACTGCCAAGTGAAATTCACATACCTTTTATGTGCCACAAACATCATTCTTCTTTCAATTTTTTTCAACCATTTAATTAAGGAAAAACCATTCTTGGCTACGAGGCCATACAAAAACAGGAGGTGGGCTGGATTTAGCCCTCGGGCCATAATTTGCTCACCCCTGTTGTAGGCAGTGGAAGGAATTTAGATTTATTTTGAATGTGATGAGCACACAGATGATGATTTGTAGGATTCTGGGGGAAGATGCTGATAAGGATTACTTGGATTAATTTAGTGCAGGGGACTTATAGCCTCCTTAAGCCACCCTTGGTATGGCTACTGATTAAAAGAAAATTCATCTTGAGGAAGGGATATTTGCCTCTTAAAAATTCTCAAGCCAGATCTCTCCTCCTCACCTTCTCCATGTGCCTCGATTTCTTCATCGTAAGTGGAGATAAAGATGGCACCTACTTGAAAGGGTTGTTGTGAAATTTGAATGAGTTAATATATATATAACACTAAGGATGGTGCCTGGCACAGAGCAAGACCTATATAAGCAGTTGCTATTATTATTATCATTGACGTTGTTGTTGCTATTATTATCCATATCCTCAGCTCAGGCCTCATCCTCTCCTCCTAGAATATCACAACTCCAGTTTCTCCCCTCCAGTCTCTCCCCAGAACCAACCAGCCCTAAAAGGGCCTTCCAACACTCCGATCTGGCCCTGTCCTTCCTCTGATCCACACCTTCCATGGCTCCCTGGTGCCCTTGGCATCAATGCCAGGCTTCTCAGCCTGGCATGCAAGGCTCATCATGGCTGTGTCCCTACCTCCTTCTCTGGCTCCATTTCTTTTGCCCATGGCCCATGTTTTAGCTACATGAGTGGATCAGCTCAATGTTCCCCCTCCAAGCCTTTGCCCAAGCTGTTCCCTCTGCCCAGAGGCCTCATCCTTTAGGACTTGGACAAAGCCATTCTTCCAGGAAGCTTTCCTGGACTTCTGCCACCCCCGCTCCCACCCAGGTGGGTTTCGTGCCTCTTCTGGAGCCACAGAGCTCTGTGCTGCCATTTCCTTTAAAGTACATATCACCATGTGTGTGACCGTTGACCAGTGTCCAGATTTGCCTTCCCCAGTTGCAATGTGAGCCCCTGGAAGGCAGATTTGGGGGGAGGGGAGGTTGTTGATGCATCTCAGGACTCTGCACCCGGCCAAGGCCCAGCACACAAGGGGCTCCAAAAGATGGAAGTTGGTCCAGGACAGAGCAGGGAGGGGAAGGGAGACGACGGCAGTGAGATGGGGAGGGTGTGGGGCTGGGGAGAGGGGTCCGCTGCTAATGGACCAGGGCACCCCTCTGCTCCCCCAGGCCTCTCCTTGGTGGTGGGCTTGGTTCTTTACATTTCCAGCATCAACGACGAGGTCATGAACAGGCCCAGCAGCTCTGAGCAGTATTTCCACTATCGCTACGGGTGGTCTTTTGCCTTTGCTGCTTCCTCCTTCCTACTCAAAGAGGTGATGTCTGTGGGGCCCAGACTCTAGAGTTTTGAATGGGGAGGGGTCTGGGGGACCTGATTCTTGGGTCCAGGAGGAAGAGGAGGCTGGGGGTGTGGACTCTGGATTAAGAGGGAGGTGGTGGCTGGGGGCTGGGACTCCTGGATCCCGGGAAAGGATGGGCTGGGGGCCTGGACTCCTGGGTCTGAGGCAGGAGGGGGCTGGGGGTGTGGACTCCTGGGTCTGAGGGAGCAGGGGGCTGGGGGTCTGGACTCCCAGGTCTAGAGAAGGAGGGGCTGGGGCCCTAATTCCTGGGTTCTCGGGAAGGAGGAAGCCGCAGGCCTGGATCTTGGGTCCTGGGAGAGGAGGGGTTGGGGGTTTTGAGTCTTGGGGTAAGAGGAGCCCCGGTCCAGCCTCTGGGACACTGATCATGCGTCGCCACAGGGGGCTGGCGTGATGTCCGTGTACTTGTTCACCAAGCGCTACGCGGAGGAGGAGATGTACCGCCCGCACCCGGCCTTCTACCGCCCGCGTCTCAGCGACTGCTCTGACTACTCGGGCCAGTTTCTGCAGCCCGAGGCGTGGCGCCGCGGCCGCAGCCCCTCCGACATCTCCAGCGACGTATCCATCCAGATGACGCAGAACTACCCTCCCGCCATCAAGTACCCGGACCACCTGCACATCTCCACCTCGCCCTGCTGAGGCCCTGCCTCTCGGAGGTCCCCTCCTCCTCCTCACGGGTCTCCCCGCAACGCAGCTCCCCTCCCTTCTTTGGGACTCCCGGCTCCCACCTGGAGGATGCTGCGCAAGCTTTAGGCCCCGCCCTCTTCCCAATGGCCCCGCCCCGTCACCCTAACCCCGCCCTTTTTCCAATTGCTCCTCCCCCCTTTCCTGACCTCTCCACTTCATTGGCCCCTTCCACTTCCAGATGGCTCCTCCCCCTAGATAGCCCGCCCCCTTTCCTGTAAGGCCCGCCCCTTTCCTCTGGCCCCGCATCTCCCAGCCAATTACCTGCCAGAGTTCCCCTGCGCTGTGCACCTGCTTCCGAGCAGTGGGCTGCGCAGGCGCCCACCTCCCCTGAGGCCCGCAGCCTTTCGTCTGGCGGCAGGAGCGCTGGGCTGGAGAGTAGGTTCTGGCAGCCGTCAGGAATGCCAACCAACCTCTTCTCCCCTCTGCCTTGACTCCTCTCTTTCCTGGCCCAATTTCACCTTTGGACCTTTGGGGTCCTCAGGTGCAGTGGGGGGGGCCTCCTTCTCCGCCCACAGCTCCAGGGTGAGGTGAGGGGCTGGAGGCCCCGGGTATGGTTAATCTGGTCTTCCCGCCCCCCCCCCCACACTCTTCTCTGCCCCCTTGGGAGACCCCATTCTTTCTCACTGGCTGGGCTCTTCTCGGCCTCCTGAAGGTTACCTGCCTTTTGGGGGGCGCTGCCTAATGGATCTTCTTGCTTTCTCAGCTGTCCTTGGCTTCTTTTTCTTCCTTCTCTAACTCGATCTCCCTTCCTCCTTCCCACCTGCTCATCCGAAGCCCCTAGGTGCATCCAGCCCGCACACCACACTGAGATGGAGACGCTAGGGTGGAGGAGATTCCTCCGCCAATTCCACACCTGTGCCCGCCTCTTCCCCCCTGAGGCCCCGTCGGGGGAGGGAGAGGCAGTAGCGGGGGTTGACACCCCCCAAACCTTGAAGTCTTCCATTTTCTGTCACTCCTCCTCATTGAAGTCCCCCTTCCCGTCTCAAATTCCAGCTCTGGCCTCTTTCAAGGGTCCGTCCGCCCCCTTGGACAGATTGGGTGGGGACACTAGAAACTCGCCCACCCCCCTTGTTAGGGGAGGAGGGCCGAGGTAGCACAGTGTTGTACACGGAACAAGGAAGGCCCCCGGGGTGGGGGGAGGGGGACAGGGGAGGGACGGGGGCTTTTAGTTTGCATCTTAGGGGGAGGGGGGAGGGAGGAGCGCAGCAGTTAACCTGTCTTTACGCAGCGATTTTTAACGAGGCTGGGGGGAGGGAGGGCTCTGGGAGTGGGGAAGGGGTGGGATGGGAGGGCCTGGCTCTGTTATTTACCGTGTATCATATGTAAATATCGACAGAAACTTCAATAAACTTTATTTCAAACACTTCTCTGCCTGCCCAGGGGAAGGGCATTGGATACAGGGGGCTGGGTCCAGGTCTCCACCCCTAGGGCCCTAAGCCTAGGGTGCTACAGAGTAAGATGAGATTGGTGTTTGTTAAATTGCTTAATCCTCATAATTCTTAACAGGAGCATTTTATAATTAAGTCCGTGCAAAGCATGTAGGACAGCAAAAGACAGGTCAAGATCAATAAAAATGAACTCCCGTTGTTACTCTGACCACTTAGAGTGGGTTACCATTACTCACCTTCCTTCTACATTCATTGCTTCATTTAATTTTCTCCTCAAGCCTGCACGTTGAGTTTACTTAAAGGACTCACTTTGCAGATAGGTCCATAGAGGCAAAATGACTCACCCAGGGTCACACAGAAGAAATTGACAGAGCCGTGAGCTGAAACTAGGTTCATCTGGTTCCAAAACTTGATCTTCCTTCTTGCACCAGGGAGCAGTGGATTCTCCTAATGCTTGGCTTGCTCACTCCTTTGAGGAATAACTGCTACCATTTATTGCACACCTACTATAAGCCCCACTTTCCTCCCATATATGACCTTATGAGGTGTTCCCAGCAGCCCTGTATGTAGGAATTATCTCTCTCACACACACACACACACACACATTTCCCAGGTGAGGGATGGAGGCTCCAAAGCGGGGTCTAAAATCTGTGATCTCACCCACCACACTGAGGGATTGAAAACAGCCTAAATGTTTGATAAGCTTATTCTTGAAATGTATTGAAGAGGGAACACGGTACCAGCTCTCCAGTTCTCTGCCTTGTCTACATTTAGCCTCTTCAGGAGCAATCAGAACAACTTCTGCAACCACAACCACAGTTGTCAAGCTATGTGGTTTAATGGCCGCATCTATCAAGCTGTCATTAGGTGTCAGTCACTGTGCTGCGCACTTCTCATTTATTAGCTCATCGGATTCTCCCAACCATCCTGTGAGTGAGGCACTCCAAATAGCCCCATTTTGTAGATGAAAAAACTGAGACTCAGGGAGGTAAGGTCACCTAGCTAGTAGGAGGCAAAGGAGAATTTGTACCCAGCCAGTCTGATCTGAGTCTTCTCTCCCAGCTGCTGCGTTTTACTACTACAAATTTGATGCAAACTCATTCTGTGACCTTGAGCAGGTCTTTGAATCTCTGGGGCTTCCGTTTCTTTTTCTGTTAAAAAGGAGGGGGATGTGCTAGAAGCACTCCAAATCCCTCTGGAGCAGGGAGAGTCCTGGGGGGAGTTTAACAGGAAAGAATTCAGATTCAGCAGGATCAAACTCCCTGAGGGAAATATCCTGAGTCATTTTCAATGATTTCAGGAATTTCTGGAGGTCATGCTTGAGATTTGGGATGGCAAATATGTTTCAGCTTCTTTGTCAAGATTAATCGAGTCCTAGTGGCTGCCCGGAACACAGTGTTGAGAAGGATTTTGAACATCTGCTCGTGGGAGAGGATGTCCCCATCAACTGGTGCTGTCTGCCATCCTGATCAGTTAGTGCTGTCTGTCTTGCCCGCAGGATGGTCGATTGTGGTGCAAGTGCTGGAAATTTGCTGATTTTGACCAGAACTTAACAATCTAAAATCCTAAAATTTATGTTCTTTTAAAAAATTAAGGTAGTTTTTTTTGGTTGTTGTTTTGTTTTTTACATTTTAAAAGTGGAATGGGGGCCCAGCCCTGTGGCTGAGTGGTTATAGTTCCTCGCACTCCACTTCGGTGGCCCAGGTTCGTGGGTTTGGATCCCGGGCATGGACCTACTCCACTCACCGGCCATGCTGTGGTGGTGTCCCACATACCAAAAAAAAAAAAAAAAAAATAGAGGAGGATTGGCACAGGCATTAGCTCACCGTGAATCTTCCTCAGCAAAAAAAAAAAAAAAAAGGGGGAATGGGATTTCATAGTTAAAGACTTGTTTATCTTTTGTGAAAGGAATGCTGTGAAAAGTCAGTCCACTTCTGACCTCTTGACATCCAGAAATCCCCCTCCCCCTCAGGTACTACCATCCTTTAATGTATAATTTCAAAAATACTATATGCATATTGAAACATATACACACCTGTTTAAATCCACACACAGGTGACTACGTAGCACATACATGCTTATTTGACACAGCATTTCAAAGAATGCACGCAGTTCTGTACCTTCCAATTTCACATGACAATGTATTATGGAGACCATTTAGTACCAGTTATATAACTGTACCTTATTGTTTTTCAAGGCTGCTTAATAATAATAGTTTGCATAAATTAATTGCATAATTTATCGCGTGCTTTGTATGTGCCAGTCACTTTGCATTCAAGTCCTAAACACTTTACATTCAATAACCCAAGGAGGTTGGTGCTTTTATTATCATCCCCATTTTATAAATGAGATCCTGAAGCGCAGAGAGGTTGATTAACCGTTTCCTGGTCGCACAGCTAGTAAGTGGTCAAGCTAAGATTTGAATGCTGGGAGTCTCCTGAGCTGTATACCTCCATGTATGTTGAAGCCACATAATTTCATCTATCTATCATCATTTTTACACAGTGTTATGCACCCATTTAATTTACAGAACAATACTACACATTAGTGGTTCTCAAAGCATGGCCAAGGCACCCTGGGCATCCCTGAGACCTGTTTAAGGGGTCTTTGAGGTCAACATCATTTTTATAATAACCTTAAGATACCATTTTCCTTTTTCATTCTTAGTCTCTCATGAGTCTATAGAGTCCAGAGTCTTGGCGGCTTCCTAGCAGATGATAACACAATAGATTGAAGGTAGAAGCAGATATGAGAATCCAACTTTTTTCTATTAGGCCAAACATTGAATAGATTTTAAAATACATAAACCAATGCCACTATATTTTTTTGTTTGGGAAAATATGGTTATTTTTCCCTAAAATAACTTGTTTATGTTAACATGCAATGAGTTTATTATTTTACTTAAATTAATACATATTTTAAAATCTTCTTTGTTCTAATTTTGAATATGTTAAATATTGATAGACATAAAACACATAAACAAATGCTTTTGGAGTCCTCTACAATTTTTAAGAACGTAGAGGGGTCCTGAGACCAAAGATTTAAGCACTGCTGCTGTGTGTCATGGAGGCAATATGTCAGACGTAGAGATTTACCTCATTTTTTCAACAGCTATGTAGTGGTCCATCGAATGGAGGTAATTTATTTTAACAATAAACTCATTTTTATTACAAACTAAATACCTAGTCATGATTTTCAAATTTAAGCAGCAGAGAGGGTGAAAGAGAAAAGTAACTTTCTTCTTCTCGTTCTTCTCAATCCCAGTCTCACTTCGCAAAAGGAATGATTGTCATCAGTTTCTTCTTCTAGACCAGTGGTTCTCCACTTGGGGTCTCCCAGGGAACATTGGGCAATGTCTAGGGGGCATGTTTGGTTGTCACAACTGGGGGGGTGCTATTGGCATCTAGCGGGTAGAGTCCAGGGATGCTGCTGAGCATCTTACAGTGCAGAGGATGGCCCCCACAGTGAAGAACGATCGGGCCCAAGATATGACTAGTGAAAATCTGAAAATCTGCTTTACACATTATCTATGCATTTATGTACTCTCCTTTTTTCTGCCTTTATTTTTATACACATGATATTTTGCTAAATTGATTTATAAGCAAGGACTCTTAATTTGAAGAGGACTAGGGATCCCTTTGAGAATCAGATAAAAGCTATGGATCCCCAGAAAAGAATATCTATATTCACAAAATTTCATACATAATTTCAGGGTCTTCACAGAGACCCCAAAACCTCTGCCAGAATTCCTTGGACGTATGATTTTGAATCACAGTCCCAGAACATCCCATTCAGAGTGAGAATACTAACTGCACCCCCTCCCCACCCAATTCCCTTTTACAGACAAGAGGGTGAAGGCACAGAGAGAACAGGGTTTGGGTCTGGGTCCCTCAGGGAGACAAAGAAAAGCCAGGATTGGAACTCAGGCCACCTGACTCCCCAGCGCTGGAATATTTCCATTTCACCCTGAATGAGGACGTTTTAGAAACGCTGATTTCTCTTCCTGGTACAGCTAGAAAACACGCCACCACCACTCTGTTTCTCTTGAGAAAACACAAAGGCCCCAGCTGTTGTTGATGAGAAACACTCAAGCACCTGGGAAAAAGCACATTCAGGATATGAGGCGGGGAGAAAGGTTGGACAGGGACAGGAGGTTGTGATTGGCTGCTGGAGGGGAGGGACTCTAGAATAT